CGTTCCTGTTTTTCGGTTTCCAAAAACCAGAGGATTGTATGCTTTGCTTCGCGAAACATTTAACAAGGCAGACATCTATTGGACATTACAAATAAAATGCTCGAACACGCTGTTTACCCTAACAGCAATGAGGGGCTAAGTTGAGGGTTTAAATGCTTTTATATCCAATAATTAAGCAATGAAAATACGTCTATCAAAAAGACGCAAGCTAATATGATAATAATACAGCATAGAAGCATTTAAGTTTCAATCAGCATAGAATTGGCAGACAGCTCTGAAAAAGGAATTTTTGCCGTTTCGTTGAGTTCATTGCTTATACTGTCAAACTTTTATAGGGATGGTGAGAAAAGCCCTCGTCCAATAGGAACGGAGTTGGATGCAGTTGCAATTGCCATTGCTCGTCGTCTGATATTCACCGATTCAAGGCACGATGGCGAAGCTGAAGAACCAGACAGTCCTTTACAAGCTATAGTTTATGCGAATGACCACGCACGAGACAGTGAAATACTTTAAAATAGATTTAGGAACGTTTGAAATGTTACGATTGTTTAAGTTTGAGTTCAAATTGCTCTTTGCTCAAAATTTAACCGTTTGATTTGATCTCAGTGTCTTCGTGAACCTATGTCATAAATTATTGATTCAATTGAACAGTTAGATTGGAAAGAAATTGAGTCAACGGGCACGTACAACTGGAAAGATCGATGCAATGAAAAACATGAAATTTTCTCAAAATGTTTGCAAAATGTAGAACTAATCTCATGTCCATTCGAGGAAGAGTTGCGAATTGAGTTGGTTATTTAAAGAAAGCAGACGGAGTTCACTCAACGTACAAGTGATTAGTTACTGAATTTTACGGCGTTTGTAGTGTAAAAAAAGCATTTGATAGCGTCCAAATATTTGTGTCATGCAATGCTTTCCAAGAGTGAAAAAACCAGCGACTCAACGCATCATTACTCTCGTAAGAACGAATTAAAGACCAATTTTTCGGAAGTAACGGTGGTTACGAATGAGGTAGAAGTGTGTAGACTGAGCGTGCGGAATTGCTTTGAAGATTCGCAAAGTTGACTGAATTTCTGATTTGAGAAAACCCTTTAAGTTGGCTTCCCAAGATAGGAGCAGACGAGCAAACCTGAGTAAGAATCTGAGAGAGTAAAAGCGTGAGAATAGTATTATGCGAAAGTTATAAAACAAAAAGCAGCATTTTTTATCCTAATTAAATAGTTTAGCATTATATTCGTGTTATTTGTGTCACTCAATCATCAACAACACTTCAGCTCTAATCACCTCAACAAACGCAATTCAGACATTGTTCGCTTAGTGTAACATCATCAAGATGGCTTACTACGCATAGTATGAATTTAACAGTTCGCAATTCAAACCCAACGCAATGTAACAAGTGCTAATCAAGAATGTTATATACAAAGTGTACCATCTAACTTGTAAACCAAAAACTGTTTATATTTTAAACGCGCATCAATCAACATAGAATTTTGTAGTGGTGTTTACTGTTGAATTTGAAATTGAATGTTCCTTTAGGGACATTTGACAGTTTATATATACAGAGAATAATGCACTAGATTGTATTAAGAGAAGATGAATAATAAATTTAAAGAATTCTCGCTAGAGTTTAAAGAAAAATCACATAGGATCAAGCTTATGGCAGATATCCACTTGTTTTAATAGTCAATATCAAATTTTATACTTACTAATCCACAAAAACATCTATCTTTCTGATCTTTTCAAAACAAACGATCCAGCGGCGAGAAACAAGTGTTGAACTGAACATTTGTTCAATCAGAAGTAAGTGTAGCTAAAACAGATGATGTTGCTTGCTGTATGTATTGATGTAATCATATCATTGAGTAAAAAACATTGATATCACCTTTATTTCAAAGTTCACTTAAACAAATCTCAACATATGTGCACCACTAGAATTGTTTGGAAATAAGCTATATAATAAAGGATGATAAGACCTTGATTTTTCTGCAGTCAGACATGACGGGAAAGCCTACTTTCATGCTTTAACATCGCGTAGGCAGGATGCGTAGACGCAAAAGAAATAGTGGATTTGTGGAAAGCGGAAAAAGAGGAGACAGGCAACGAGGACCGCATCTGCTAAGCTGTCTTTTGGTGGACCTTCTCTTCGTTTAATATAACATGTCAAATTCGTGATGAATACAAAACTACAGACTACTTCGCCATCGACAATGACGAATAGTGCTCGTAAATGTGTACCACCCTAAAATGTCATCTACATCGGATAAAACGAGCACAGTATGTAGAGTGAGTCATAT